AAATAAAGACTAAATTGCCCTCAGGGCCCCAACATGACTCAACTCAACATAAGGGTACAATAGGAAAACATAAAAATAAAATGCATAATAACTAAAAATATAAGCTCTGAATCGTGGCCGTCGATCTGCGATGCTTCCGGCGATACACCTGTTTGAACCTTGGATCGATGTCCTCATCAAATATAATGGAGCTTGACGCAGTTGAGATTGTTATTGTCTCTGCCAAAAGACGAGGAGACCGTTGGCTCCTTTCTTCTCTTCTTCCTATTGATCAACCACTATAATTGCATGCTTGTGAGTGAAGGATTATTGGGTTTTACAATCAAATACTACATTCTCAATTAAGGTTTATCATCTCTGTGAGATTTCTCACAAGAGAAAAATCTTATCTTTTTCTCCCTCCTTGCAACTCCTACCCCGCCACCTTCCTTTTTATTTATTTGTTCTTATCTTTTATTCTACCATCACTCATATGGTACCTCTAAAAAATTCCTTTGAACTTTCCACACGTGGTTTCTATTGCATCTTGCATCCAAATGGGATCCTATTAATAATTTTATAATCAAAGTACCATATTTAGTCTACATAAACCACATAGAAAATTTTTGCATAGAATTCAGACTACCCAACCCTCTAACTTCCCATGGAACAACTGGCAAGCAGGTTGCTTGAATTTAAAAATAAAGTTATGCGGATTACGAGAGTGAAACCCGTAACACATTGAACGTGGAAGAACTCTAGAACAAACCTTAAACGCCACCATCTCCGCCTTTATTCAAAAAAGTGGATATACTGTAATGCAGCTTGATGTCATTCAGAATATTATTAACACTGCCAACAAATGAGGACACCATTGACTCCTCCACGTCCAACCACTACAATTGCATGCTTGTGAGGGAAGGATTACAGAGTTCTGATTAAGGTCTATCATTACTGTGAAATTTCTCATAAGAGAGAAATCCTATCTTTTCCTGCCCTCCTAACAACTCGACATTTATTAATGATAGCCTTTCTCCAGATCTAAAAAACAGAGTCAACATCATCAATAGGCATGAAAATGCCAACAAGATCATCAAGCCTTAGCCAAATAATAGAAATTGCATTGCAACAGCAAAAGATATGAAAGATATCTTCTATTTATCCTAGCACATTCATAAGTATATTATTTTTTAACCTTTCGGAATTTAGAGATAATATTCTAGGAACTTCCTCATATAAAGGAACCAAATAAGATCTTTAATTTTAAAATGAACAATACAAGAGCACTTAGGACCATAAAACAAAGATCCATCAGAAATAAATAGAAGGAATTGTTGACCACAATAAGTGTTCCCAAGTTGACCCAACCAAATTCAGCAAGAACGAAGTGCTTAAATGTTGTTCCAGATGATGTATGTTCACAAAATAGATTGCACCGACACATTCGAAACAACAGAAACAGCCTACTCAAATTGCCTAGGTCGCAGCACAAAGAAAAATCAAATTATTTGCCTATGTGTGAGGTGACGCACGACTTCGATATGAGTAAGCCATGGAAGTTTTATTATTATTATTATTATTATTATTATTATTATTATTATTATTATTATTATTATTATTATTATTATTACTACTACTACTAAAAAGTCAAAAAACCTCATTCCTCCCATCTCGTCGCCCATACTCCCTACAACCTCCCCATCCCTCGCATGAATTGCCTAAAATCGAACATCCCTCAATCCCGCACCTTCTCACACACATACAATCTCTTTCTCTCATAATCATCATCTCACTCTCTCACAATCTTCCTGATAGGAAATACTTGAGTTAGCAAGCAACCCTAAGGGAATACTTGAGTTCGCAAGCAAACCTATCACTAATTGGAGACAAAACAGCGAGAAATAAGCAAAAATCTGGGCGAAATCAGCCCCAAAACCATAGATTGCAATAAGGGAAACAAAGCAAAAACAATACGAAAGCAAGATACAAGTGATCCTCAATTCGAGAGGAGGATCGTCTCTAGACAAGAGAGTCTAGAGACCAAAATGCCAAAGAGACTCCAAGAAGAAAACAATACTTGCATGTCTTTCCCTTCCCCTTACCTCTCCTATTTAAAGACTTTTCCACCTCCTCAAATCTTTCCTAAAAATAAATTCAAATCCTGTGGACCACACCCCTAGGCGGTAATCTAATTTGGCCAAGAAAGGAGGCGAAACCACCTCCTTTTGTATACAATTGCCGGCCCAGGAGGGGCCGGCTGAGGCGGTTCAGAAGGAACCACCTCAAGAGGCGGTTCCAAAGGAACCGCTAAATCAATACCGCCCTCCCAAAGAATCACCTTGTCCTCAAGGTGAAAACTAGGAAACTGTTGCTTCACCCTTTCGCACGGCTCCCAATGGCATCGTAGTCCGGCAGATTCTTCCACTTGATCAGTACTTCTTTTGCCCCTTCTTCTTTCTGACAAACCCCCATCAACTCTAAGGGTTCCATAATCACCTCTAAATCTTATAAAAGTGTGGTTGTATAATCTCCAAAAGCTCTTCTCAGCTGTGACACATGAAAAAATGGATGAATAGTCGCCGTGAGTGGTAGTTTCAGCCGATATGCCACTACTCTGATTTTCTCCAATATTTCATAAGGTCCAAAGTATCTTGGGTCGAGCTTTTCATTTCTTCTGTTGGCCATTGTCTTCTGCCGATATGGTCGGAGCTTTAAGAACACTTTCACTCCTGCTTCGAACTGGATGTCCTTCCTATGCCCATCGGCATGTTTCTTCATAATCTGTTGAGCTCTCGGTAGATGTTTCTTTAATTCCTCTAATACTCGGTCCCTTTTCTCCAAATACTCCTCTACAAACCTCTTACCCGACAGATCCACAAATTCTGCCGCAAATCCAACTGAAATCGGCGCCGCTAGTGTTTCTTCTCCACGATATCTGCAGGAGTTCCGTTGAATCGGACTCTTTTCGTGTCGTTAAATCGGAGACGAAGAAGCCGCTCTTCTTGCTGCCTGCTCTCGACTCCAAGCCACAACCGAACTCTGCTTCCACGACCCTCCTATCTTCCCCGTCACTGCCCCGACCAAATCCCGTCTTCCTCTCCCACTGTCGAGCTCAAGCCGACGACAAAGCCTCCAACCAGACACCTCTATCTAGAGAGAGAGAGAGAGAGAGAGAGAGAGACTTCATCTCTAACCATTTGAAGCCGGAATCCACGAGCTGCTCCCGATCTCCACCAAGCTGGGCTCCCGTCGCTACTTTCACAGAACCCGAACTCCACCTCCTCTTCATACCCGCCTCCATCCCTCTCGTAACCGAGCCCCAATCCACTTAAACCTAAAGCCCAACTCATTCACTCACTCACCCCAACTCACTCCACTCACCCCAACTCACTCCACTTAACCCTTACCCAACTCAACCTAACTCCAACACATTACTTGGCTCAAGGTTATCCCTACCCCTAATTACTATTAATTATAATTAGGTTGTTATAATTATTCATAATTATAACAATTATTAATTATGATAATTATGCTATCAAAATTAATTAGTAATTATAATTAGTGTTAATTATAATAATTATTTTACTATTATCATTAATTATAATTAATTTATATTAATTATAGCTTTTTTTAATTATAATTAATATAGATTAATCATAATTAATTATTTATTAATTATACCTAATTACCACTAATTATAATTAATTGTTGTTGATTGTAATTAATCTTAGCGTGGTGGGAAGGGAACCCGGTGCGACGCCTACGGCGAGGTGGGGTCAAATATAAAATTGCTTATTTTAAGCTGGTGCCCGCAACCTATGCAC